AATAAATAAAAGCTTGTAAAATTAGTGAAGAGTCAGTTCAGGTAAACATAATACCTTCCTTGTTGCACATTTTTTAAGGCAGGTATAGCTAATGTGCAGGTATGTTGAATGCATCTATTGGAGAAGTTTCCTTTTAAATGTTAAAAATAATGCCACTGATGCGCATTTTAGGGTAGGTATCTTAAATGTGCACTTAAGCATAAAGGCAGCAAAGCAGAATATACTGTATAACAATAGCCAACGGTGATCTGATAAATTGCATTGGCTGGCAACCAGTGCTCACGCGCGCATCACACCACCTTACCATAGTAGTCGCGAGAGACAAACCGAGGGATTTTATTACACCCGAGAACCGCACGTTCTTCAATACACGAAAGGCAAACTGGGACGGTTTCACGGATCATCAACGCACCAGCCGCTCGTTTCATACTAGCCGGAAGGATTGCCAAAATCCGCCCAGGCTTCCCACTGAAGCGGCGGGACTCGTATGGTCAATGAACACAAGCGGAAAACATGGAATGAGCAATCTGACAAAGCGTAATGACAATGTCCCTCTTACTTTCGTCACCACCACAGCGTCGGATCCCCGGTCGTGGGGGCGCTTCTTCAGCCGGCAATTTATTGCACATTGCCGCAGTGCTGCGTAAGCACACAAACTCGTACAGACCTATCTCCCTCCTATCTCCAGTGGCAAAAACCAAGGAAGCACTACTCCTCCCCCAGCCTGACGAAACATCTGAAGCTAGCCGAGCATGGATTCCGGAAAATGCTCAGCACGACCATAGCATCGGTATCGATACTCTAAAAGTATCATTGAAAAAGTATCGATACTACTCAGCATCGGACTCATTAAAATACGTTTTTTGGGATACTAAAATTATTTTGTTCTTCAATCGTATATCTTTGTTCTTCATATCGTTATTTCCTGAAATTAAAACAATAGACATTTAAAATATTTGATTTTTATTTCATTGCATAACTTACTTCCACGTTAGAAGTAATTTAAACGTTAAATGTACATACATAAATACACACATATTTACTTTCACGAATTTTAAATTTTATTAAGAATTTTTGGAAACTTTGTGGGTATGCATTTTTGTAGCCTATTTAATTTTGTTTAATATTGTGCAAGTTTTAATTAAAAGTCAACGGTAGTAGGCTACACGGAAAGTTGAATAGGTTACAAAACTGCATACCCTAAAAGTTTCTAA